CCCTGTCGGAAATAAGGACTTCAGGAAAGCCGTGGTAGCGGATGAGGCGGTCAGCAAGGAGCTCTACAGTATCGGCGGCTGAGTGGGACTTCTTGGCCGGAATAAAGTGTGCCATCTTGCTGAGAGAATCGACGACAACCAGAATAGCGTCGTGCCCAGAGGTGGTGAGGGGTAAGTCGGTGACGAAACCTAGGCTAACATGGCTCCACCTGCGCGAGGGAATAAGCAGCTGTTGTAAGAGGCCGGCGGGTTTTTGATTTAGTGATTTGGATGCGCGACACTGCGTGCAGGACTCCACGTACGCGTTGGTGTAAGTACGCATGCCAGCCCAATAGTAACGCTTGCTGAGGGCCTTGTAGGTCTTCTTTTGGCCTCGATGCCCGGCGGTGACGTGATCATGATGCGTGTACAGGACGTGAGTGAGGAACTATGGAAACTGCGGCACGCAGATAAGCCAAAGACCATTAACGCATATATGTAAATAGGGCAGGACAAAACGGAAGGTGTGACGACGATGTTGGAACTCCAGTTGAACAACTTCACCCTGCTTGGTAGAGGCAGTGTTATAAGGCGCGCTGAATACCGGGCACTTAGAATACGCTGCCGGCCAGTCGAGGACGGGAGAACTGGGCGTAGGTCTTGGGTCTGCCGGCGTGGGAGATTCGGGAGCAGGGTCGAGCGTAGTGGTCGGGGGTGGAACCGGGGGTGAGGGGGTGCGTTTCCGAGGGGAACGTCGGCGGAGGCCGGCCAGTTCGCGATAGTCAGGATGTGTTCCCCGGGTCCTGTGCGATGGTTCGGGCGGGTCCGTCCCGGGCCCGAGAACTGCAAGAGACCCAGAATGGGTCTCAGGGGGGTCGATTGGGCAGGGTGAAGGGCAGGGGGCTGAGTGACAAGGGAGACGAGACAGTGCGTCCGCCACTTGATTACGTGCACCCGGCAGGTATGTAATAGTGAGATCGGGGAACTCAGCCAGAAAATCTAGCCACCGAGCGGTGCGGCCGCGGAGAGGTTTCGACGCCTTGAGCTGCTGTAAGTATGTAAGGGCTTGGTGGTCGGTGTGGGCCGTGACCTTGGTAGGTCTCAGTAAGTGTGCCCACTTGTCGAGTGCAGACACTAAGGCCAAAAGCTCCTGGTCATAGATCGAGTATTTCTGCTGCGCGGGGGTCATGGCCTGACTGAGGAACCCTATTGGCTGACCGGCCTGTTGGAGGACCGCGCCAACGGCAAAGCCAGAGGCGTCCGTGTAGAGCTCAAAGGGTTTCGTGGTATCAGGAATCTGTAGGGTGGTGTAATCAATCAAACGCTGCTTGAGGTGGCGTACCGCCTGAGTGTGTGCGTCTGTCCACTGGAAAGGGACACCCTTGCGCGTGAGATCCACGAGCGGGCGGGCGACCCTGGCAAACTCCGGGCCCATGAACATTCGACAATAATTAACGGTGCCTAGGAACTGACGCACTTGCGTCTCGTTCTCCAGCACCTCGGGCCATGCCTTGATGGATCTTGTCTGGTGCGGGTTTTATACCCTCCGCGCTAACGGTATAGCCCAGGTAGGTAAGCTCCCGCTTCGCAAACTTGCATTTAGAGAACTTGGGGTAAAATTGGTGGTCGAGGAAAATACCGAGTACCTGTTGGAGGAGGGCAACGTGACTGGGAAGGTCGGGGCTGTAAATGAGGACATCGTCGAGGTACGCGATGACTCCCTGACCTAATAAAGGCTGTAGGTAGGCATTGATATTGGCCCGAAAGGTAGCAGGCGCGCCCTTGAGGCCAAAAGGCATGACCTTATACTCGAATAACCCCATAACAGAACGGAAAGCTGTCTTCCACCTGTCCTCCTTGGCCATCCTTATCTGGTGAAATCCTGACTCGAGATCGAGGGTGGAAAAGTATCGGGCCCCCCCCAGCACCTCAAGAATCGTTTGAATAGGTGGTAGGGGAAAGTCAGGCGCAATCGTAAGGGCGTTCAGCTCCCGATAATTGACAACCATGCGCATCTTACGCTCGCCCC